CATGGTTCTATATTAGCGTCGACCTCTTTTATGATCTATTGTGAATGATTATGCATGCCCATGTCCATCAGTAGATGTCGGTGTAATATATAGTAAATATATCACCTTGAAAATTAGGGGCATCTTTGCTCCTGAATCATGCTCTTTCTGTAAGATAATTTAGATTATTCTTTAGAAAGTTACATTATGTTAGTTTGGCAATATAGATCCACTTTTCAGCTACGTAAATGTTCATTGTGTCATCGTCCAATTACTTTATTGCTTCCAAACGAGTCTTCATAGTATATCATATACAAAATTTATCGCATTTTTTTACTATAATATAGCATATTCATATACAAAATAAAGCAAAATACAAAATCTCTAATTTCTATACTTGTATTATCATATTCCTATTCAACTAGCCAAATGCAACTATATCATACCAAACAACAACAAAATGAGAAGAGCAATAACAACATAATGCAGAGTACTATATACTACGCGATAGATTTATCTATAAAATCACATTTCTGTAATATTTTTTATTAAGCTTTCTGTGGGTTACTTTTTTGACTTAAGAGAGTTATACAATTGCTCCAGTTGAGTTCAAGAACTGCTTCCATGTCGGAAATAGAGTACTGACCCATATAAAAACAGCAATATGGAGAAAGAAGACCAAGATTATGAGGAGATCTTCCAAGAGACCAACTATCCCCAGTATTCTTGTTGGTAGAGGAAAACAAGATGGCATTGCTTATTAAATCAAGCCAAAATAGATGATAATAAAATGTAACAAAAATTACTTTATGAAATTATATCAATTGGACTGAGTACGTAAACTGCACTTAGTATCGTCTTCACATAATGTTGATATATTTGTCAGAGCCAAACCACCGAAAACATCAGTCTAACAAACTTTCATATCATATGTTAAAGATCAAAAGACAAAGTTTCCATAGATTATTAAATCAAACCAAGGGAAGAAATTTTTTCTTCACACATTTTGATAGCCACCTAAGCCAAAACAAAATATCTGCCTTAATAATTTTGATAGCTTAAAGCTCAAATGAACAATTTTTTTAAAAAGTAAAAATATTATATATCATTAGATACAAGCACTAAAAGAGTGTCAACCAATGTACAAAATTTTTTAAAAGAAAGCGTAAATGATTTTCTTTTTGGAAAAAAAAAATGAAGAAAAAAGCATAATAAGTACATTAAGATCAAGAGTTAAATAAATTTTCATATAACATGCAGAATCTTATGGGCAAACCAAATAACTAAACATGATCTCAGTTAGAGGGGAAGAACAGAAAATCAGCTCCGGTCAACAATTAACAATATCCCCATAGCAGGTGGTGCGTATTAGATAATTGAGGTAGTTCAAGAAACACCCAAGTCGGCTACATTGCAAAAGGGACAATCGTCATAGTTGAATGGTTTCTTCAATGTCAATACATGTTTTAGTTAGTCTTTCTTTAACAAATTTCTAATGTAACCTTACATTTTTTCCACCGGTTACCGCTTTGCTTCTCAAGCCATCAAATGGGTCATCCGAAAATTGAAAAGAAATAAATACAAGGGGGTTTTGAGGGCAGTGGTTACCGTTTATCGCAGGAATAAGGCCTTATGCATGAGAGAGAGAGAGAGAGAGAGAGAGAGAGAGACTTAATAATCTCCAAACCTGTTATTAAGCCCATTGGCTCACCCAACGGCTGGGCTATTCGTATATTTTAAGTTCATAGACCGTGCTTTGGCAAAAAAGAGATCCGAAATATATAAGGTAAAACCTAGTATTTTACGTTTTAAACACAAATCAGCCAGATCAAGCACACATCTCTTATTTAATCTAAAACATTTCGATCTGAACCTAGTGTCATGCGCATGTTGTAATTGAAAAGCATATTAGTTGGGCTGCTATTACCATGAAAAACTAATTAAAATGTTCTCCGGAACAATATTAATTGTATTTGAATGAAAAAATATGACAAGACTTTTTTTAAAGGTGCTGGACATGGAATTACGATGGATTAGTAATAGACCTGAATAATTGGGTCAGAATCGAGTCAGGCAAACAAACCAAATGCAACCTAGCTCATGAATACATCTAGCCGCCTCTCTTAAGGAGGACCAAAGAGACTTTTATTTTGCGTAAGTAACGTAACTACATACTTCTCGTAAGCAAATAGTAGGACCTTGGTGCCGTACTAATAATATATTCCCTTTTCTAGTGACAAAAATGGTAAAAATTATAGGACTTAAGCTATCAAATTGGACCAAGAAAACACTCAAAACTGAGTGGGAGAAGAGGCAACATCAAAATTTTGTGATCTAAAGTTCTACTCATTCAATTCTCTTTTTCTTTTTCTTCTTTTTTTTTTCATATTATAGCTTGAAAGCAGATAAAAAGTAGTATAATACAATATTTATACTCTACCTTGTGGCAGAAGTCTGCTAGTTCACAAGCATGGACCGATCACAAACTAGTCTACCTTGTGGTAGAATTAACTAACATAAATGGATTCAATTCTGACTCTGATATCATGTTAAATAATAAGTTGAACTAGTATTTTCATAAACTTAAGCTGATTAAAAAAATTCTATTGTTTGTATTCTTAACAATAACAAAAAGCTAAAAGATGTTAGGTGGTAAGATCTGTTGTAATTTCATGAGGAAGAGCACAGTATTATAATCAACTCCAGCACATAAAAATTGGTAAGTTGGTGATGCCATGTGTAATTTGATGATCCTTCCCAGAAAGAGACCATTCCAAAATTTTTCTTTAAACCCAAAACATGTTTCAAGATTATCTAACGTCTAACATGCACCTAAATTATGATTTGAACACCAATTTAAACATGAACAGCACGCTTGATTAAAACAGAATGCAAATGTTCAAACTCAACCCTATTCATTGAACACCATTTCACCATTTTTTATTTCCAAACCATATAACAATAATTGTCTAAAATTAAGCACCACTGCACGTTAGAATTAGGTACTCTACTTACCTTAATTTAGGCCAAATTTTTAGGTATTCAAATTTCCTTAAAACAGATTAAAGTCCTCACCAATAGCTCCTTGCTTTTCACCCAGGATCAGCATGAGTGCTGAGTGTTTCCACCCTTGGTTCTCCCTAATGGGTGAATCGATTTCACTTCTGTTTTCACCAAAATGTACATAACATGTAAGGCTCCTTTTCTGAAAATTTTCAGAATTTTGGGAGTTAGTTTTAAGTGTCCAAAAAATTCAAGAACTGAAGCATAAGAAATCTGGGTGCTTCCTAGAGGGGTTTCCTGGACCTTTCTGTGGTTCGGAAGCTATTTCTCCTTCTACGATTATCTGTTTTATTTGATTCTTATCTCTACATTTTCTTTAAACGAGCCCTATTACTAAGAAAAATTTCATATTTTTCTGAGTATCCTAAGATATTAAAAAAAGTCAGGAAATATTGAACAGAATTTTAACGCCATGCTTACCTGAGCTTCTGGTGTTATTCCTTCAATTTATCCCTCTTGGAGAAAGTTTTCACTCCTCTGTTTCACTGAAATTTACCTAAGTCATAAGCCTAAACACCCCTCAAATTTCAGAATTTTTGGAGTTTTCTAGCCTAGGAAAAAAATTTAAAAACAGAAGAGGAGGGAGGAAGCCACTTACAATTTTTTCTTTCTTCCTCTCAGATTACTTGCTCTCCTCTTATTTCTCTTGGTTTCTCCTTGAGTTGGACGACCAAAATGGGAGATTTTGCTGTTCAAGTGGCCCTTTTATAATGAAGAAAGGATGAGGGATTATGTGGGTAAGTTAGGGGTGAAATGGAGAAAATACCTTCTCTTCCAATCCACCTGGTAATAGTAAAGACAACAGAGATTTTTACTCGGTTATATTATGGAAAAGTATCATGGAATTTAGAAATAATTGTATCAGAGGTCTTATAATGCCATACCTGGTCTAGGATAGAATTGTGAAATATGAAACTTGGGAGAACTTGTACTCCTTAACAAGACTCACTATTTGAGCAAAATCTTCATCCGTTTCCCCTGAATTGGTTGTTGAGAAATGATGATTACATGAAATATAATCAAATATTGAATAATTTGCAGTCCAAGTGAGTGTTGAGTAGAGACAAGTTTGGTCCATGTTAATTATTTAAGCTACACTTCTAGTTTACCCAAAAAAATGCATGTAATTTATGTTGACATTTAACACTTAAGTTTGAAAATACAAAACATATATTCATATATATATGAATTACTTGTGTGCAGATAAAGAAACATATGGGTATTTTGTTCATGTTCAAGCAAACGTAACGGGCTGAGATGAACAGAAAATAACAGCAAATCCCGACACTAGGTTTAGAATTGAATAATTCAAATATGAACTACGAAATTTGTTTGAAATACATTTTTGATTATGTTTAGAATATTAAAAGAATATAAGCTTACTGTTAAAAAAAAAAATTACAGAGACTTATGCAAACGATACGTAAAAGATCTTGATTTTCAAGCGTACATAAATATTTAAGATAATGTAGTTATCACATACATATATATTGAGAAATTAAGGAACTAATAATATTAAATATTCATTTAAAGTATATTTAATCTTAACAAATAGTCGTTTAGATTTAAGGCTATGTTCAATTTATTTCAAAAAATTTACAATCAAAATCAAATGCCCAAGATTTTAGCAGTTTTTTGAATTTCATAAAGCTACTAATTGCATATATCTACTGTTTGCTTTTATTATTTTTCTTTTTCGACAAACTGTAAAATAAAATTGCCTACCAAAATCTCCCTACATAAAAAAAGACGTATGTGCGTTGGGGGGCCACCTCCACAAATAACCTCTCTCTCCTCCTTTCTTCTTTTTTTCTTCGCTCTTTCTGTTCTCTAACATGTTCCTGTCTTCATCCTCCAACCTCCATCTTCTCTTCCTCCTACTACAGATCTTGTCTTCTTTTTGTTCACTACTACTACTCTTCTCTTCACTTATCGTTACTACAAAAAATGAAAAGGAACAATGCCGGAGAAGAACTCAGGAAGAGGTGAGCACCTCTCCCTCTATAGGTCATGCTGATCCACCTCCTGCCTTCCAGACTCACCAATGGCGGGAAAAGGCGCCGGCGGGGGATACCAGAACAGACTTCACCCTTGTAGGGCCATCGCAAGCAGCGGCTGTGACGCACATGCAGATGTCAAACAAGTTCGGATTGATGGAAACCAACCCTCCTTTGGGTACAGGGGAGGTGACAGGATGACGAGCACTTACGATTTGGTGAAGCAGATGCAGTACCTCTACATCAGCGTAGTGAAGGCCAGAGATCTCCCCGTAATGCATATCTCCGGCAGCCTTGACCTGTACGTCGAAGTGAAGCTCGGAAACTAATAAGGACTGACCAAGCATCAGGAAAAGAACCAAAACCCAGTTTGGAAACAGATTTTTGCTTTCTCCAAGGGCAGAGATTCCGGGCCAATTTGCTTTAAGTTACCTTAAAAGAAAAGGATATTGGTAAAGGCGATTTTGTAGGCATAGTAGAAATCAATTTAGCAGAGGTACCAATCAGAGTTCCGCCCGATAGTCCCCTGGCCCCTCAGTTGTATACACTGGAGGACAAGAAGAGGGAGAAGACGAAAGGTGAAATCATGCTTGCAGTCGGGATTGGAACCCAAGTTGACGAATCGTTTCCAGAATCTTGGCATTCTAATGCTCACAACACCAGTCATTCTAATCTTGCCTAACACAAGATCCAAAGTTTATATCTCCCCGAAGCTCCATTATCTTCAGATTCATGTCATGCAAGCTCAGGACCTTGTATCGTCGGAGAAGGGCCGAGCAACAGAAACTTTTGTCAGTGTCAACCTTGGCCACCAGACAAAACCCACCGGCGTGAAAACGCAAACCATCAATCCAATTGGGAACGAAGAGCTCATGTTTGTGGCCGCCAAACCTTTTGAGGACATGGTCATTGTGTCCGTCCACGACAGAATTGGACCTGGCAAGGATGAGATTTTAGGTAGAGTGATTATACTGTTGATCAGAGACTTCACTGTTACACGGCTTGATAAACCCAAGCTTCCAGATCCCCGCTGGTACAATCTTTTCAAGCCTTTGTTGGCTGCGGAAGAGGAGACAGAGAAGAAGGAAAAATTCTCGAGCAAGATCCTGCTTCATCTCTGTTTAAACGCAGGGTATAATGTGCTTGAAGAGTCAATTCACTTCAGCAGTGATCTGCAGCAATTGTCAAAGCATCTAAGGAAGGAAACCATTGGAATTCTTGAACTTGGGATATTGAGTGCTAGAAATTTGCTGCCTGTAAAGAGCAAAGATGGGCGGACAACTGATGCGTACAGTGTAGTCAAGTATGGAAACAAATGGGTTCGAACCAGGACTCTGCTTGACACCCTAGCTCCTCGATGGAATGAACAATATACCTGGGAAGTCCATGATCCATGCACTGTAATCACAGTCGGAGTATTTGACGATGCGCACACCAACTACCACAAGGAAGACGCTAGAGATCAGAGAATACGTAAGGTGAGAATCCGGCTATCAATCTTGGAGATGGATAGAGTCTACACCCATTACTACCCATTGCTGGTTTTGAGACCCTTGGGTTTGAAGAAATATGGGGAGCTCTAGTTAGCTTTGAGGTTCACTTGTACTGCTTGGACTGACATGTTGATTCAATACCCTAAGTTATTGCTCCCAAAAATGCATTAAATACAGCCTATACCAGTAAGGCACATTGATATGTTGCGGTTCCAGGCAATACAGATAGTGGCGGCTAGACTAGCGAGAGCAGAGCCACTGCTGAGGCGCAAGGTGGTGGAGTACATGCTCGATGTTGATGACCACATGTTTAGCCTCAGAAGAACCAAAGCAAATTTCCAGTGCATAATGTCGTTGCCTTCTTCAATTTCTCTCGTTTGCAGATGGTTCCACGATATCTGCAACTGGAGAAACCCGGCAACTACTTGTCTTGTCCATGTTTTGTTCTTGATACTCGTTTGCTACCAGAAACTTATCTTGCCCGCCATCTTCCTCTACCTTTTTGTTATTGGGATATGGAATTACCGGCTCAGGGCAAGACACCCACCTCTTATGGACGTCCGGCTTTCACAGGCAGACAGGACAAACCCAGATGAGCTTGATGAGGAATTCAACACATTTCCCACCTACAAACCTTCAGATGTTGTCAGAATGAGGTATGATCGGCTGCGAACTGTGGCAGGTCGAGTCGAGTTAGTTGTCAGAGACTTGGCTACACAAGGAGAAAGAGCAGAAGCCATACTCAGCTGGCGTGATCCAAGAGCTACAGCTATCTTCATAATCTTCTCGTTGGTCTGAGCTATGTTCATCTACGTGACTCCATTGCAGGTGGTGGCTGTATTGGTTGGGTTTTACATGCTGTGCCATCCACGGTTCAGGAACAAGATGCCTTCCCTACCTGTCAATTTCTTCAAGAGATTGCCAGCAAAATCAGATATGCTACTGTAACGAGTCAAGGCACTATAATCAGTTACCATTCATTTACTCCATTATTGTGCAGAAGTCAGTAAATAAAATCATATTTGCTATAATTATAATTGCAGAATACAGGAAAAGCAGCTATTTGCTTTTGATTACCTGCTGTCCCACCAGCTATAAAAGAATCTCACTTTTTGCAGAGTTCCACATTTCAACTTCTTTCTTCAAAATTCATCTTGGGTAACGACCATTCTTTTTTGCACTGTATTTCCAGATTCTATTTAGGAATAAGCACTCACAGCTTGTACTTCTCGAAGCAATATCCAAAAAGTCAGCTGAGTAAACAAACTGCAGGCAGGTTATCAGTAAATTTAACAGCTAAACTCAAAGTTCTAAGGGGACAGATGGAAGTGCTATTAATTATATGATAAAAATTTTAACAGAGTTCTTACAGATGATATGATTGACTCAAAATTTGGCAACAAAGAAGCTCGCTTCTAGGACTGATTACTCCAAGAATAAAGACAAAATCCATGTATGGTACTAAATCCTTCATGAAATTTCTCTCCAAAATAATTACAGAGATAAAGTTTACTTGGACAACAGAGTTATGTAAAGATATATGAGTAAAATTATAACTGTGAAGGAGCTGACAAGCATTCCACCGAGAAGCACTCTATCAATGAAATCCCATTCACCCGTGCTTCCACGAGACTGTTCTTGCTTCTTCACTCCTGAGGCTTTCTCACTCTGTATTTTCTTTCGCACTAGATTATTCCGCTTCCGTAGGAACCATCCAGCAAGATTTCTTTTGCTTTGATCTTCCAACAGTTCCCTCTTTGAAAAATTACTCTGTTGTCCTCTGCAGCTTTCTGGTCCACAGGCACAAGATTCTGACAATCCGGAGCATGAACAAGGCTTGTATGGGTCAGAAAGGGATGAACATTTGTGCTCACTCGACACTCTCCAGTTTGTAGCTGTTTTGTTATTTGGTTGGTTGACAATCTCAATCACCTCTCCAAAAACCGACCATCTTCCCACAGATGTTATCTTTACAATAGCAGAAGTACCCAACAAACCCTCCGGAGCAATTACAAGAACCTGCACATATCCCTTGGTATGTCCAACCTTGGGGAAATCAAGGACCACAAAATTGGAGAAATAGAAAAATAGAAAAAGCATCAACGGTGACCAACCACTACCAAAACAATTCATTTTCCTACCAAGTAAAAAAGAGTCAAGAGAACCTAGGGTTAAAAAAGATGATGTTTTGCTGATTGGATGATATACGACAAAAGTGCTCAGATAATTTACTGAATGATCTAAGAGAATGAAGCCATCCTGTCATGGCAACAGTTCATTGAAATTTGTTCCACAGGAAAGACAGTAAGACATCACCTATTCGGACAGAGACATTACATATGAAACACCAGCCAAATAGAGTTTACATTCCATTCAAATGCTCCCTGAGACAATCAGTAAGAAACCACCAGACAATACGAAAGCAGATTCTCAATAAGATACCAAGATGATGGTGAAAACCTAAGAGTTTCATTAATAAAGTCACTTGCAGTCAGGCTTACCAAGTGAACTCTGTCAGTTGCTATATCAGTTATCCATATTCTTTCAACTCTGCCTTCCATTCCATTGTAAGGTTGGAAAGCTTCAAAAACAGACGTCAATTCACGGCTTCGGTTCTTCACTGTTGTGCTTGGAACCTTCTTCATTCTTGCTGCAGGTGTCCCTGGATTAAAAAGAAAATCAAATCATTTAACTCATTAACTATTTGTCAGTCAACAATTCAATTGATTGGTAATAAGAGTATCATGATTCTAAACCTAACAAATTAGCTTATCATGTTATATTATTAATTACCAACTGGCGTCCAGAATATACAACAATTTCCTTATCACAACGAAGTTAATGAACACCTATATTACGTACAAAAATTGGCCCTGCCATCCATATACCAATTACCAGAAGTTCAATTTAGGTAAAATTACTGTTTCACCCTATATGGTTTTGCCTTATCGCAATTCAATTTTTTTGTGACAGTTTGATACCTTATTGTTGGTTTTTTTATTGCACATAAATCAGTGAACTTTTAAGATATTATCTTCCTTCTTTTCCAAAGTTTTATTTATTTAGCTTTGGATTTCCATGTTTCCTGTTTGGAAATCCAAACAAGTGAATGTCCTGTAAAAACTGAAGATTTTATGTAAGCACTAAAAAACTACAGTACAGAGTACTGAACTGTCACAAAAAAATAAAATTTCAATTCCAATAAGGGGAAAACATGGGGAATAAGACTGTACCTTCCCCAGTTCTTTATGTATCTATTTAGGCACTGGTGCAAAACAAAAACTTTCCAATGAAATAAGGGAGCAAGGTTTTTACCCTCAACTGAATTTTTCAGTTGCTAATTTGCAATAAGTACAACAAAAAATGAGGATGAACCTCTACTGCCATGCAACTCGCATATAAATCTCATTATGCTCCAAGGTAGGACACTCTGATGGTACGAACTGGTAGGTAAGTTCCATATTCACCAGGAGCCTTAGCCTAATAATTTTTTGAAATAATCAATTTTTTTTCTTAAATAACGGGCTTAGCCTAATAATACCTGCAGCTACACAAATTTGGGTTTCAATTTCAGATTAGATAACACTGAGGCAGACACATGCTTCGATGAATATGTATAAATTGACTGACACATTGAAGTGTCTATTTAATTAATTAATTTTCTGTGGGAGTATCCCAAGGAGATCTTTTATTTCATCAGTGGCGTGCCTATGACCACTAGGCCAGATGGCCATAGTTGATTAACATATCCATGTAATAGTTGATCATAGTTGAAAACTGTCGACAAAGTTTATGACCTGATATTTCTCTGGCACTAATAGAAAATCCTCCACAGAACCTTGAAATGTGTAACTAATGAATGCTAATGAATGAAGAAACAAACTAATATAGTACACGATATAATATGAACAAAACATAGTCGTTAGAAGCACCCTTAATGTAAGAAAACATGTTTTCTTGCCTGAAAACAAGGTTGTTGTCATAAAAAGGACCCACTCTTCCAATCTACATTATAGAGAATATCATGGAATTTAGAAATGATCGTATCAGAGGTCTTAATGCCATACCTGGTCTAGGATAGAACTGTGAAATATGAACTTGGGAGAACCTGTATTCCTTAACAAGGCTCACTGTTCGAGCAAAATCTTCATCCGTTTCACCTGAAATATGAAGGAAAGAATATTATTCACTGAAGCAGTATCAAAATAGATCCTCAACAAATCAACAGGATTTTCTCTATAGAGGGTGGACATATTGTTGATTACCATTTCCATGTTTTTATAGAGGCAGAGCACATGTTTGTATGACTACCAGACCATATACATAAGAATTCATGTAGTTCCAGGGACAGGATAAATCATATGCTTAATTTTCTGACAGGCATTGGTAACCCCCTATGCTGAACATCATTTTACAAAAATACATGTGCAGTTAACCATTTCAAAAGCAGTAGCAACTTTAACATTTACACCGGCTGACCAGATTACAATTTGGAACGTTTAAAAATAAATGCAAAGAAACTAGAAAGAAGAGGGAGGACGCCAAGTGAACATACTAACCGGGGAATCCACAAATTATATCAGTTGCGATCTGCATTCCTGGCACAAGTTCTGTCAAGGTATCTACAACGGTCCTGAATTCAGTCACTGTATATTCTCGGTTCATTGCCTGAGCCAATAACAATAGTCAAATGCTAAAATGAAGGAACTGTTTTCCAAAGAGCATTTATAATTGGAATCCTAGACAAAACGAAAGAGATAGAGGGAGGAAAATGGAAGGTGCAGTAATCATCAGCCTTAAAAGTGGATGGTCCATCCAAAAATTGTGTACTTACACTCAAGACAGCATCACTTCCAGATTGGACTGGAACATGAAGAAAGGAGTATACACATGGGTGGCGCAAAACAGCAGCTATCTCTTTCAAGTGCTCAAGAATAAAAGGAGGGTTGGTCATCCCAATTCTTAGCATTGTGCTCCCATCAGAAGGAAGTTCAGCAACAATAGCATTTAACAAGATGGGAAGATTAACCCCAATATCGCGACCTGCAAGAAGACTCAAATTATTTGGACAAACACTTTAGTTTACACAAAAAGCTTCAGTTCTTATTGCATGTTAAAGCCAGGCTAGTAACCAGGATACATTTTCTGGTAATGTCTACATCATGGGACCCACGGCAAGGGAGGGAAAACTGCTTCCTAGACAGTTTCCAGGTTTACCTCAGACCTGGCTGGAGTCTAGGATTCTATTAGGAAATTTGGTTTAGGACTCTATATTATGTTATGTTTAATTTATTGCTGATTTAGGAGTTGGATTTAGGTTAGTACAGGATCTAGAAATCCTGGTGGTCTAATAGGGATCTAATTCTTAATAGCTTCCTGTAAATATGTTTATTTTGATTAATAAAGCTTATAAGCTATTTTAAGAAAAACTAAAGCTATCTCTGGAGGCTTCTCTTTGAATTAGAGCTTATAAGCTATTTCAAGAAAAACTAAAGCTAATAGGGATCTAATTCTTAATAGCTTCCTGTAAATATGTTTATTTTGATTAATAAAGCTTATAAGCTATTTTAAGAAAAATTAAAGCTATCTCTGGAGGCTTCTCTTTGAATTAGAGCTATCCTGTAAATATGTTTATTTTGACAAGTCTCATTACAGGCTGAAAAGGCTGGAGTTCACAGAAACAAGCAACCAGCTTGCTCCGACACACAGTTTGGCCCCCCAACTGCTATTGCAAGCCCAGGACCGTGGCAAAGCATTTGCTTCTGGGCAAAAATGCTTCTTCTACCAAAAGCCAACACCATTGGATACTAGATGCTAATAATAGGTTGTATAAATCATTAGTTCTAGTGCAATAATTAAACAATTTAACTTGGTTCATTGCTTAATGGCTCAGGAATAATGTTTAGCGCAAAGGTAACCCAGTATAGTGCCTTTCTTAACAGGTAACTTCACATCATCAAATAAATTACGAAACCACGAAAAATAACAAAAACAATTTTCAGATCAAAAGACAGATTATAAAAATGTAAACAAGGACAAGAAACTACCATATGCTCCAGTATCTTCACTGCTCAACCATATTTCTTTAACTCCATCACCTATGACAGTTCTTACTCGTCCCACCTAAAGTAAAAATGTAAATAGATCAAAGCCAAATAGAATTTAAAAAAAAAAAAAAAGATACAAAGCCAAATAGAAAGAACAGCCAGTAATCTTTGAGATGAACATACAAGGCTATCAACTGTATAGCTTCCCAAATGACCACGTGCATGCTTTGTCTTGCAATAGGTACAAGCACCTAAACAGCCAACATTAATTGGGAGAATCTCGACAAACTTATTTTTTCTCACCTGTTGAAAGAATTAAGTAAAACTTAAGAAGAGAAGAATATCAGATAAGTGTTAATAAAAGCAACACATATTTCTCAGAAAATGCCAAAGTATCACTAAAGCACAGATATCAATAATGCCAACCATGTATCAGAAATGGCTTCAAACAAATTTAGCTTATCACAAGGATATGAAAAAACCAGAATTTTTATCTACATTGCACCTTAGGAAGGTCAAGTGCTGGCAAAATCTTGCGAGTCAAAAGACGCACTTCATGACCCTTCAGGGTTTCCTCTACAATTTCAACTACACGGTCAATTTGCTGGACACCAATGATACTGACCCCTTCTAACTCCTTCAGATCTCGACTTCCTTGAGGCACACACCCAGCTACCACCAGAGGCTTTTTAGCAGATTTTCCTTTTGCTATTATTGTGTTCATAGCAGACTGGCTTGGAGATTTCACAGTACATCTGTATCAGGCAATGCAAAGTAACATTATGCATAACACTAAAAATTTCCAAATACAGAAGGATTTTATTTACTTTAAACAAACAAATATGACCCTAGCATAAAAGCCAGGGGAAGCCAGAGAGGCTGGCATCTCCAGTATCATCAAAACAGTTTGAAAAATGCGGATTAGACTAGCATTCTTACAGATAAAATACATGATAAATTTAAACCTTTTAATGGCAGTTTCTTGTAGAAGGTAAAAACAAACAGTTAAGAATTACTATTTTGCAGCTGATGGCAGTAAGAAAAGCAATCCATTTGTTTATAATGCAGAATCTGGCCTTTCAAGATAGATAACTGAGCCTTAGAGGGATAAAACACAATGGAAGAAGGTGCAATCATAATGCTTTACTGACTGTACATAACATCAGTTACTGCAGTCATGCACAATAGGAAAGAAAGCATCGACCATATTTTTCCAATGATGAGAAGGAAAGTTATTTATACGATTAGACTATATCTTTCCAGTGATTTCCGCAATTAACCAGCTGATATAAACAGCTTGAACTCATGGGCGGCTGAATGGATGAGCTGCCGCATAAAATTAATCCTTAAAAATGATAATACCATTAGATACAAGGAATTGAAGCATCCACCAGAGCATTATTTTGTTTACCGTATGAAATCTGGAAATAGGCAATGAAATTAAGAGAACTAGAAGATTTAGGGATGTAAATAGAAAAAAAAAACAATGAATTTTACGTGTTTATTAGCCACAGATCTGCCTCTTCTGGATCGTCAGCCAATAAATAACCAAATGCTGAAAGCTGACCAGCCATATACTCACTGTCACTCTGGTACAAAAGAGTAAAAAATCATAAAAACAAATGATAGAAACAAGGAAAGAAGTTGACATGACGAGGGAGACAGATACCGTAAGCAACGATTACAAGTAACAATCATGTAATTAACTATCTACTACCACCAAAAGGAAGAGGAAGTTGCCCTAAAATCAAGTTAATAGAATAGACAGCATTCAAAACCTGGTTATGTGAGCATCCAAAAGTCTTTATATATATGGTCTGCAACAAACAGAAACTAAATTAAGCAACAACATTGATAAGCACACTTTCAAGGAGACATTAGAGAGAGAGAAGGACTGAGTGCCAGGGATTTTGAGGGAAGGAGGGGTGAGAGGGTCATAAATTGGGGAAATCTTATCGTCGTTCAGCTTAGTTCTATTCCTATTCTTCCTGGGAACAACTCCAACAGAGGTTAATGGTAACCGGAAACCGGGCGGAGCACCCTCAGCTCCCCTGCCGACTAACAGATCCTCTATGTCTTCCATTTTCTTGGTCTCTGCTCAAGCTCCGGCGTGAGTAAGCGCACAGAAAGAGGGAGGGAGCTCTGGCCTTACTTTTCGAGAGGAAGAAGAAGCAGAGAGGGGGAGAGACGAACATGGGCCCTGGTAGAGGCCAGTAAAAGTTCAACTAGTCTGGTCCTCCCAATCTTTTTATTATTTTGTAAATAATTTTTTATATTATAAAATAATATTTTAATTATAAATTTAATATCCGTATATTTTATCAATTATAATTATCATTTTCAATTTTAATTTTTGAGGGAACTATATTTTTTCTTTTTCTTTTGGCCTTTTGTGAAACAAATTATCTTCTCAACCGAATAACAATATTATGATTATGTTTGGAATAAATAAAAATTTATATAAAATTTATTTTTTAGCTATAAGATGATGAATTGCCATCCAAAAATAATAAAATGAGTTTATATATAATTATAAATAAAATTTCATACAATTTTTTTGTCATCCTAATATAATGTACAAATTCTCATTATTGAATTACACGTGAATTTGCATAAATTTAACAATACTTTCTATTTTTTCAAGAATTGCCTAAGTTAAAAAGATTCCCGCTTGCATTGCGAAAACATATCTACATATTTTGTAATACCCTTAATTAATTTTAATATAATTAAAATTAATGTATAAATATAATTTTTAATTTTTAAATTTTTATTTAATATAAAAATAAAAAAAATAGGTGAATGATGAAATTGAAAATAATTTTGAAAAAAAATAGTAAAAATTTGGATTCTGATAGTGTTTTTGAAAGAAAAATCAGAAACTGGAGGTAAAAATGTAATTTAAGAAAATTGTACCACGTAGAATGCTCAGTCAGTAGCCTCGACCAACCGGAGCGTGTCGTGTGGCAAGGCACGCTGACGCGGTGCCATACGGGAGGCCACGCTGGCGATCCGCGTGTCTGTGATCAGACGGTCCGGATTTGTTCCCACGCGCACGGATTGTCTGGATCCGTTCCCCCTTTAAACGCGATCAGACAGTCCAGATCAAATCGCGATGAATGGTCTAGATCCACTTCCTATTTAAACGCGATTGGATGGTGTAAATCAAATCGTGATGAACGGTCCAAATTCACTCCTTATTTAAACGCGATCGGACGGTTCAGATCAAACATGATGGACGGTCCAGATTAAAAAGAGACGAATATAAATAACCATTTTCACACCAAACTCTACCCCTAGCCGCCAGACCCCCCGTCGGAGAAGAAGAGCTAGTCACCAGAAAGGGAGTTGATCGCCGCCTGCCACCACTCCGGAGCCACTTCTGACCGCCAAAAAAGGTAAAAAATTTCTCATTCGCTCGAAATTTAATTTTGAACACCCCCATGGCCAAATTAGATCAAAAGGACCGGCGGATGAGCTAGAAACCACAGACAAAGCCCGGCGTTGCTGCCGCAGAAAAAAGCAAACACCGCTTCCGATGAGGCCCTTCTCGATTTTCGTTTCGTGTAATTTTTCTACCATTGTAATCACCATCCCTTTCTCTATAGGTTGACCGAAGCAAAACACCCAACCGCAAAGGTGAGCCAATGGAGCCACCGCACCGGAGAACCTCGTCGTCGATAAGCTTCGGTTTTTCGACTTTTTTTTGCCAACTGAGGCCACTTAACATATTTTCTCATAGGTATTGGTACAAAATCGGCTGAAAATAACTAATCCTAGACAAACGACGGCAGTGCCCACACTGGAGCACGGCAGAGCTGCTGTGCCAAAATTTCAGAATTAGCCAGAAAGGGTTTCTAACACTGATTTTGGGTTTTTTGGGGTATTTTTAGATACTTGAAGCTTGTTTTAATCTCTGAAGAAAAATTCAAGGAACCCGAGGACCGTTAGTAGGTGTAGTCAAAAACTTAGCGTCGGACAACAATTCGAGTAATAATCTCTCACCTTATTTTCTGTTATGGAATTGAAGTTTAATTAATATTAATACGATATTTTGTATAGTTTAAAAAATATCTGTAATTAATTATAGGTCACTAATGGAGTCAAAATCGGTTATTTATTACTGTTTGTCGTCTTAGTGATTGGTGATTTTACAATTTCGAATGCATGATAATACAATGAAATTAGTATGATGATATGATTGTATTTTCTTGATGCATGTATTACTTGTTTTATGTAATTGAAGTTAAATTGAGAAACTAGAAATTAAATGTAAACGAAAAATTGTTTAATTAAGTAAATGGATGAACGGTAGTCTTACTGGATATCTTGGGAGATGGTGGACGGACCGGGTACATAGGGAACCCTACCATGAACGTTGTCTCATACCGGATGAGGTATCGAGAATTGGTAATTTGGTGCTCATATCGAACGGGGTATGGGGACGACCCATTTCATCCTCATACTGGACGGGGTATTGAGGGATGGTATTTCCTAGTGCTCATACCAAACAAGATATAGAGATAGCCCGTTAATTGAAAATATTGAAAAAAGTTTCACGCGTAGTGGGGACTTCCCTATGAACCCTCATGGATACCAATAGGCCGATAAAAGAAAAAGTCGTTATTCTGACTGATTGAATATAAGATTTTGATATTGTTTATGTTATTGACTTTATAAGTTAGTTTTTTTAGAAATCTCGTTATGGTAAGTATGCGGTAAATGATTTTATTTATGATAAACAAATTTACTTAAATTAAGAGCTTCATTAGTTATTTTTATGATTTCTACCAACCTTCATTTCTGTGTCGGTGAGTAGTGTGATATTCTTACTGAGCTACTGTAATTCATTCTTTCATCAACCATTTCAGATCAAGAAAACCAAGATCCAGAGTCTGATCCACAATAGGGTTACGAGTAGGATGCCCAATTATATATTTTATTCTTATTTTTTTAATTTCTCGTTATTTCTTTTAAAAGAGTCATTCTCGTATCCCTATTGCGTAATCTGAATTATTGTATAAAGAATGTAAAGCTTAACTATTTATTTCAATTCCACACTAAATTTATTTCTTTTGGAGTTCACGGGTCGTTATATATTTTTTATAAATAAAAAACATATCTATGTACTTTTTAACTTATTATAACTATTATAATTAAATAAATATAAACACTGTAAAAAATTATTTTTGTTCAAAAATGTATTAGTCTCATAGAGATATTTCAATTTGATAATCATAATCTCACTAATATAATAATGAATTATATCCTTAATTCTATTTAATCAAGTACTATAGTTTAGTTACTGTTACTTCATAATACACTTACAAAGTAATAAAATCTATTTGTATTTATAAAAAAACTATGTATATATTTCTGTGTGTGATATTTGATGAACCCTCCACGTTATATAACCAGTATATTCATGACGAATTTAACATAATGGTCAAGAATTTCGATTATAAATATATACTTATTTTAGGAAATTCTAAGATATAATTCTTATTTTTATATATTGAAGTGAAACTTATGAAAAAAAAACAGTTAGTAAATGAGAGGAGGAGAATGATTCTATCACCATTAGAAATAGGTTGTTGACTAGAATGACTCTTGTCTCATTTCTTGTCATCTTAAATCTAGAATAATTACGAGAATAAAAAAGAAATAGATAAATAGATATAAATATATATATATATATACATAGAGTAGGGGGGAGAGGGAGATACTATTTTTAGTGGCATATTTTGATAAATTTTTAAAAGCCCGAAACTCAAAATAAATAAATTTATTATCTTTAATGCGGAAGCGAACAATGATATCAGGGTTTATATTTTTTCACAGTAAATTAGAATATCCAATAAGGCTACAGGAATGTCTCTACTATAACGGTTCGTAAAAAAAAGCAAATAAATGACTTAAAATAAATAGATAAGTATCCAAGGGATTAATCTTCACTAGCTCTTAAAGGGATCTGGGAGATAGACTACTCACAACCTTCTTATTGATCAAGATATAGATTTGTGTTCTCTTGATCTGAAATGGTTAATAGAAGAGTGAGTTATACTAGCCCAGTAAGAATATCATAATAATCACTGATACGAAAAATAAAGGTTAGTAAAAATCACTAAATAACTAATTGAGCTCTTAATTTAAGTAAATACTTTTAACATTAAAACATTATTTTCATACTTACTGTTACGAGTTTTTCAAAAGTCAATCTATAAAGAAGAGTAACCAAATGACACCCATATATCATTTATAATTTCATGTACAAGTGAGTAAAATCAGTCATTCTCTATTTTTACCTGCTTATTGGGACACCTGGGGGTGCATAGAGATGTCTCTCTACTCGTGAATCCAATATCTAGATTTGTCAATTTACTCAGCTGTTCTCATATCCCGTTCGGTAATGGACGTCAAACACTATCATCTCGATACTCTGCCTAGTATGATGTGAACCATATCTCTCAAACCCTTCCGGTATGGGACTTCTTAACCCCGTTCGACTGAAGTAATATCCACAGTAGGGTTCTCTATGTACCGGGTCCGTCCACCCTTTCCCAGGGTACCTAGTAAGCTTCCATATATATAGATTCTCATTATCCAAACAGCCACCAATCGCATATCAACATCTCGTTACATATTCACAGATTAATTTAAACGACATCTAAGCAAGTGATACAATTTAACATAATCGAATAATCAAGTAACCAGATAACCAAATAAATAGTACAGGAAAAACCAAATAAACCAAGCAATCAAGAACACATTTTAAACTAGAAATTTAATACATATAATGAAATAGTAAACATCTTAAACAACACAGGAGGAAATAAATAGTAAACCAGAAAAATCGTACACTGACCAGTTTCGGCTCCATTAGTGACATTAATTATTATTAAGATTTTTTTAATTTTTATAAAATACGAAATTATTAATTATTAAGCCTCAATTTACCGTAATAGAGAATAGGTAAGGGATCCATAACCGGATCGGCATTTTGAAACGTTGTACTATCTATTACGTCTCTTAACGGGTCCCAGATTTCCTGAATTTTCTATGCAAAAATCAAGTTACTTGTCACATACCTAAAAATACTCCCAAAAAACTCAAAACTAATGTTGAAAACCCTTTTTAGCCAATTTTAGGGTTTCAGCACGGCGTCGACGTGTGCTCCGGTGTTGGCTTTGCCACCCACAGTAGTTGTTCACCTCGGTCTA